GGAAAGAAACTGGATCCAGACGTATCGTTCTGGTCTCAGAAGGAGCTGTGTTGAATCCAACTCAAAGGTTCATTTCTTGCCCCCTCTTATTTGCATAGCACTACTTTGCGTTCAGAGTGCAATGTGTGGTATTAGAATGCTTTAACATTTCCAAGGAAGATTTTCTTTCGTAGGGGAGCATTCAGGAATATGATCCTCAGTCAGTAGTTAAAAGTGTATAGCCCAAATCTAGGAATAAGAACGTAAGAAGAATAGGCCCGCTATATCAGACCAGTGGTCCATCTAGTCCAGCATCCTGTCTCACACAGCGGCCAGCCAGTTGCTCTGAAGGTCCAACAGGACAGAGACTGAGTCCATCCTCTGATTTGCCTCCTGGTGCTAGAATTCAAAGGTTTCCTACCTCTGAATGTGGAGGTTTCCTTTAGTCACCATGGCTAGTAGCCGCTGATAGACCACTCCTCCGTGAATCTGTCTAACCCCCTTTTAAAGCCATGTTTGCCTGTGGCCGTCACTACATCCTCTGGCAGCAAACTCCACATCTTAATCACTCGTTGTGTAAAGAAATACGTCCTTTTGACTGTTTTAAATCTGCTGTCCGTCAGCTTCATTTTTATTTTGCTTCATAAGTAGCCCAGGCTATACTTATCATATTACCTCCTTTGAATCTCTGCAATACCAAGACATCTGGTCTTGTACAGAGATGCTGACTAATGAAGTGAAGGTATGAGCTCTTAACTAATCAATAATAGTATTTGTCTAGTTCTCCCCAAAACGTTTATTTTATGTAGTACTTCTACATTACCAGGGTAATGGATTCCAGAGGCTGGATCCAGACTACATTTTCCATCAGTGGAATTCAACTTTTCTGCTTCCCCTTCTTGTTAATTCCATTAAATGCTGCTCCTGAGGGATAGGGGAGCCGGAGGAGCTACATATGTGGGGTATGCAGCAGTAAGGGGGAGTTGGTAGAAATTGCCAATTTAGTTGGGAATCTCCAGATCCAACCTAAAACTTCCAAAACAACCTTAATTGGTTGTCCATCCACACCCCGCCCATTTTTACAGGTCATGGAATTTGCCATGTTGTAATAGGTGAATGGGGAAAACTGAAGCCACATAAATTCTCACCAGAATAAGAACTCCAAATGCTATGTAAGTGTGAATTATTATTATTAGGGATTAGTACTGTCAACATGGCGAAGTCTGGATTGTTTGCAAAGGGAAAAATTGTAAAGACTGACTGTAAGGCCCAATAAGGGGATTCCATCTCCTGCAATCACCAACCTATAAAAGGTCCATAATAAACGTTCTTTTTTGGGCATATTCTTTTGAGTCGTGACAAAAAGTTGCAGCTTTGAAAATAATGCCAGGACAGAATAGAAGGGGGCTGACAAGCCGTTTTTCCAAGCTCCCCAGAAAATTATATTTCTTATTGGTGTCTAATTATAACCGGTTAGGTAAATACTTCTTTTAATAGTCCTCAAATATCTATTGAAGACCCCCAACAACAACAAAAACTTTGTTAAAACCCAGATACCGTTACTTTAGTGCCAAGTCCTCCAACACATGCCTTTAAAAGCAAGGAAAAATAACAAGTTACAGATCAAAGGAAACTTCTTTGCTGTGCCTTAACACCCACATGTCAAATTAACGGCTCTCTGACTACTTAGTACCTCCACAACGTGTTGCCCTCCACCTCCGACATATTAGGGTAAACAATGCACTCATTACAATTTCCCAACTTTCATTGAAGACCGCAATTGCGTTCCAGCCAAAAGCTACATTAGCATGCTTCTACACTATACATACACGCCCGGATTAAGTGTTTGATGAGTTTTTTCTATGCATTAAACACTAAGATTAAAAACAGTTTACTGGTTTGTTTTTTTAAAGCCAAACTGTTGCATATGAGAATGATCTGATGTGATGCTGCTGTAAGATATTCACAATAATGTCACTGTTGGACAGAATTCATAATTAAGCTGGAATACTGTGTGCAGTTCTGGGCACCACACCTTAAAAAGGATATTATAGCTTTGGAAAAAGTGCAGAAAAGGGCAACTCGAATGATAAAAGGGTTGGAACACTTTCCCTATGAGGAAAGGTTAAAGCGCTTAGGGCTCTTTAGCTTGGAGAAAAGACGACTGAGGGGTGACATGATCGAGGTTTATAAGATTATGCATGGGAAAGAGCAGGTAAAGAAAGAGGTACTTTTCTCCCTTTCTCACAATACAAGAACTCGTGGGCACTCCGTGAAACTGCAGAGCGGTCGGGTTAGAACGGATAAAAGGAAGTACTTCTTCACCCAAAGAGTGATTAACACATGGAATTCACTGCCACAGGAAGTGGTGGGTGCTACAAGCATGGACGGCTTCAAAAGGGAATTAGATAAGCATATGGAGCAGAGGTCCATCAGTGGCTATTAGCCACAAGGTATAGCTAGGGGCTCTGGGGCAAGTGATGCTCTGTCTTCTTGGTGCTTGGGGGGGGTCAACAGTGGGAGGGCTTCTAATGTCCTGGCCCCACTGCTGGACCTCCTGATGGCACTGGTATTTCTGGCCACTGTGTGACACAGAGTGTTGGACTGGATGGGCCTTTGGCCTGATCCAACATTGGCGTCTCTTATGTTCTTATGTTCTTAAGCTTCTTACGTCACTGTTGGACAGAATTCATAATTAAGCTTCTTACATTTTCCTCCAACGCCATAGCATGGTTCGATGGTCAGTGACTGGGCATTGCCACTGCTGTCGGTGCCGAAAATGCCACCGTTCTGCATCGCCCATGAATCCTTCCCCAATGAATGCTGGGAGACGCTTGTGGAAGGCAGAGGTCGATTCGGGGGGAATCGCGGGGGATCGCCGTTCCCCCCGGTGAGGTGTGGGGGGCGGGGCACATGATGAAGCCCCTCCCCCTACTTCCGGTCGGGGTAAAATGGCGATTTGACGCACCCTGTAAGTGCTCAGGGTGGACGGGTGTTCCTTACAGCAGTTTGGACTGTATTTTGGTCCAACATGGCTTCCCCCAGGCAGGGGGAATGACTGGCAGGCATCAAGACCCAAGAGAGAGTTGAGATTGGTGTGATCGAGTCTCGGAGGAGGCTTGTATTACACTTTGATCCCCTCTCCCGAAGTGGGCATGCGCATTCAGGGGGTGTGGCCTTATGACACACTTCCGGTGATGTCAGGGGGTGTGGCATATGCTAATGAGTTATGCTAATGACTTCCCCTAGCTCTTTTTCTACGAAACGACCCCTGGTGGCAGGGAACATGGGTGGTGGGAGTGCCAAGCAGGTGGAGGGAAAGGGCACACAGGCAGGTGGCAGTGCAGGCACTTGGACATGAAATCAGTGGCAGTGGGCCCTGACAGAAGCCCTGGGCCTTGGCACCTTGCCCCGTCTCAGGGTATGCTGACGCCGGCCCTGCCTCTGTGTATTAGAACTGGGGGGGGGGCTTTCTTCAGCCCAGATACAACAGAAGACGCTGCTGACTTTGTGAGTGTGTGTGTAAAAGTCTGGATTGAATTCTTGAGCCAGAAAAGCCTCAATAAAGATGATATGACAGGAGGGCTGAGGGGTAAAACATTAAGTATTTCATTAGCTGTTGCCTTCTTGGATTCATTAGTAACCTCGAAGAAATGCAGACATCAGTGTTGCGCCAGTGCTGCAGCTTTCCTGTCACTCCTATTGGGTTAATTCATTAATTAAGCTAATTGATTATTAATTCTAAATATTGTGCCTCCTCCGCAATGTTAAGTTGCATGTTTCCTTTGCCGGCTTATCAACGTAGAGTTCACCAGAAAGCCACGTCAGCCTTCCCTACGATTATCAAAGGTGACAAAGTTGGACAACAGTCTTGAATGTCCTTCTTCTTTGAAGACTTTAAGAAGCTTAAACTTCAGGGCAGGAGGGGGGGCGAAGCTCTGAAGGCTTGTTTTAACAGCGTGTCTTTTGCTGACGCCTGGAATTATATTTTACTTAATAGATGTTTTCCTTTCGTCGTGCATTGTGGAGTAATATAAAGGAATATAATGGTTCCGTACTTGCTTCTCTTCCGGGATTTGGAAGAGATTTTGTTATTGCGAGCCAATTCTGCCCAATGCACAGGGTGAGGCAGTAGACCGAGGTGGTAGAATTCTGAACTGTGCCACTTCAGGAGATGGAGGGGGCATATGTCTGAGAACTGCCCCACTTAGCATAGCCCTTTGTCTCATAAAGCATAGCTCTCTGCAA